TCAGCTAAAGTCATCCGCCACTCTGGCTACAGCTCTGCAACACTTGACAATGATATTATGCTCATCAAGCTTGTCCAACCAGCCCAGCTCAACCGAGCGGTCCAAACAGTTCCTCTGCCTACCAGCTGTGTGGCCACAGGCACCACATGCCTAATCTCTGGCTGGGGTAACACGCTTAGCAATGCCAGTGAGTATTCTGTGGGAATGTACAGCATCATGACAGCCCGGGAGACACTCTAAGACCTCACAGTTCACTTCAAACTGTGCAGGGCAAAGAACAGAGAAGTGCTGTGGAACAGGCCTTTTTGACTGATCAGTCTGTGTAGGACAGGGACCATTTAACTGCTTTAAAGGCAAGCCTATATGAGGTCCGTCCTCTTGTTCGTGTTATGAACATGGAATCACTGAAATCATCCATGTGCCATTCACCAGCATGTTCACACTGCCATAAATTTTGTCATCTGGTGCTATCAGCTGTCTAGTCCCAAGCACTAGCAATTTAACTAATGTCAATAGAGTTCTCAGTTCTCTGAGAACAAGATCAAAATCTGTAATTGTGGACCTAAAATTGCTACAAGTGAGCTCCATTCCCTTACACCAATGATTAGAGGTGTGGATGGTGACTGGTGTCTAATCCACTGACAACAACTAAATGTGCACCAGAGGACAGAATGGTTTTCCTGAGACCCAAATTTCCTCCAGCATATGTGCTACAAGAGTAGCTCTTAGCTCCGCACATGCCAATTGATGATTTTCCACGTATCAGAAAATTTATCATGGCTGCAGTGTAGAATGGTGGACCCATGGGTAGAATCTGTTTCATCTAAAGGAAAGGAATCCATGCTGTAATTACTTTTCAGAGCAAAAATGACGACTGCTAAAACAGGATGTTCACTGATTACTTTTCTGCTAAGAAACATCTTCTCTGGGCTCTGAAATGAAGTGCCTGAAGGCTCCTGTACTCTCCTCAAGCCAGTGCAGCAAAGCCTACCCTGGGAAAATTACCAAGAACATGATATGTGTAGGCTTCATGGAGGGAGAGAAAGACTCCTGCCAGGTAAAACATCTGCCTCTCTTTTCACATATGTTTCTCTCCTGCTTTTTGCTATCAGAAGAGGCCGTCATATTAGAGAACCTGATATATTCACTGCATGTCTGAATATTGTTTTTTTGAACAACCATGGAGACAGCGTGAAAAAAAAGTTTCTTATTGAGTAAAGCTAGTTTATTCCACCCAGTTTTTGTTCCTTTTTGAGACAGGGAATACCTCTGTCCTAATTATCCATGAGCAGACTATGTGCTGCACCACACAGTCACAGTAATCACAGTGACTTTAGAGCTTAGGATGGAAATGTTAGTTTTGGACTAGCTGCAAATGAAATAGCCAGTATGCCAAGATCCAGGCAGCCTGCAAGACGAACACACCTGACAATTGCTCTGCATTTTACATGTGCCTAACTCCATGGAAATATTTAGCAGAATAATATTTGTGACACAAATATGTTAAGTATCTGCCAAGGACCTTATCCGTCAAAAGTAGATACCTTACACAGCCTTAGCTATGGTGCCCTTAAGCTAAAGTAAGGCACAGTAGTACCAGGTGTAGAGTGGTAATCAGAAATTACCTTTGTAGAACTTCTGTATAGGAAAAACACAATGGAGCTCCCTCCAAAGTCAATGATGTCTGGGATCTCTGGCTCATCACTTGTGCTGACACCATTTGCTGACTATCCGTATACCTTATGTACACAGGGGGATTCCGGTGGTCCAGTAGTCTGCAATGGTCAGCTCCAAGGCATTGTTTCCTGGGGTATTGGATGTGCGCAGAAAGGCTATCCTGGGGTTTACACGAAGGTTTGCAATTATGTCTCCTGGATCGAGGCAACTATGTCTTCCAACTGAGACACTTTCTTTCTGTGTGATCTGCTTTTTCTTCTCAACATTTTCTTCTGTTTTGGGACTGGACACATAAAAATTATCAAAAAATAAAGACTTTCAGGCACCCGTTCTTTGTGCAACGTTTCTCTGGGTACTTCCATAGGCAGGGCAGAGGCAAGCAATGTCACTCTGAGGAAAATGTTGATTTGTACGCCTCTCAAGTAGCAGGATCTTGGAACATTTTGCAGACTCATCTTGAGGAGTCTTTCAGTCAGCTACAGGCAGCCAGTTCTGGAGAACAGCTTTTTTGTTTATCATCATGTTCTCAGGTGCTACAAAACTGCCTAAAACAGCTGGGAGCATGCACTGAATCACACAGGCAGCATACTCCTATTGTAGAAAATAACAAGCAGCAACACAAACACTCCCCATCGCCCCCAGTCCAATACTCAACAATATGACTGAACAATCTCTAGTGGAACCTCCCTGACAGCTGTGCTTGGGGAATGAAACAACCACTTGCTATATTCTCTTCATGTACCAGTGCCCCTGGGATTGCTGTCTATACCTTCTTAGTTAACTGGTCATCCTGGGCTTGCTTATTTTTCCTGGAAGAGTCAAAAGGACAGAGATGTTCCTGGGTTCTGGTTTTAGCTCCTGCTAACCCCAACAGGAATTGAAAATCCATGAAAAAGCTGCCACAGTTGCCAATAGGCTGTGTCACTATCCCGCTGATATGTCTCCAGTGGCTAAAGAAGAAATTCAACTTTCCAGGTTATAGGCTATTCTTGATTTTCAGATTGCTGGAATATCCTGCCCTCTTTCACGGCTGGAAGATCACTAATGCCTGCAGTAGGCAGTGCCGTGAAGAGGTCACTGACAAAGTTTTTCCCTCCTTTGTGCTGTCTAATAAGAGCAACAGGCACTAGCAGACCACTAAGATGTGAGGATGCTATTTTCTTTTCTCACTCTCTGCTGACATTTCCACAGACTGCTTTTATCACACAGCTCTGCACAGCAGGAGTGAGAGAATTACAGAGCTGTGAGCCCTAATTTGAGCCTGAGGGTCAAGAGGAAATTGTGCCCTGCACTTTCTCTGTTTTTCTCAGGAAAAATAGTGGGCTGAAATGCAATGTATTTGAATACACATATGAAAGCATGAAAATGTTGCACCAGCCAGGCATGGCATGAAGGGAAATAACCAAGTGGCAGTAGCACTTAACTAAAAGGCTCCAAAGGCAAGACAGAGCTAAAACTCTCACTCAGTCCAAATTCTCCAAAGAGGCACAACACTTGGAAAAACATTAAGAATAAAAATGGGCAACAAATTATGCTAGATTTTGTAAAAGTCAACATGTCTTTTGGGGAACGGTGGAGGGGAGCATCTGTGGCTCAGAAATGACACTCTTCTTGAATAAGAAAGAATAGCTCCTGACAAAATGATGAGGGTGGGGGGAAGAAAGTGAGAAAAATTATCAGTTTTTCAAGAAGTGGAGATTGCAACACCTTTGTTAGTCTGTGAATCACAACTGAGATGTCTGGAAAAGAGGTAACAAGATTCCGAGGAGATCTCAAATTATCCTAGATAAATTGAAATTCCACGGCAAAAAAAATGGAGGAGAAGTCCTGAGAGAAAATAAATAGCAGAAGAAGGTAGCAAAACATTTTAAGATTAAAAAATCAGTGGAGTGTGAATCTCCTCAGCCATCAGGTCACTTCCTGTACAAAGAGATTTGTGCTCAGCTTCCTCAGCCTCTGAATCAATGTGTATCTTAGCACAGTAATATCTGCCAGAACCATTCACTGAGGCAAAATCTATTGAAAAGGACGTGTGATATCCCACACTCCCACAGCTCTTGAAGTGCTTCTAAAATTCATGTACACAATGTACACACTTTGCCTTTTCCCTTTCTCCTGAATACACCACCAGCTGCAGCATGGTATCCTTTCTTTGAGCTTGCTTATACCATGGCATGTAGGGGCATGTGATTCCCATCTTAGCAACAGCTATGTGCACAGCTTCTCTCTCTTTGATGACTGCATCTGGAGATTGTTGAAGGGCCTACCCTGTCAGGACAGAGAAAAAAAAAAAGGAAGAGAGAAGTCCCTTTGTGCATGGGCATGGCAGTGAGAAAGCCTGAAATGCGAGAAGGCAGCTGCCTGGTTGGGAATTGTTGGGAATGAAACCTGCATGCAGGCATGAGGTGCATGTGCCTTGCTCCATTGGACTTCCTGCTGTATCTATGTGTGTGTATGCATAGGTGGGAGATAAGTGTTATCACAAGAGCACGACAGGGCTGTGTGGCAGCCTGAGTCTGTGCACAGCATAGGGTTGCACAAGAGGCACCAAATGAAGGCAAAGAGAAAGATTGCTCTGGTGTGTATGTTTGTGTCTGTGCCCCTCAGCCAAGCCTCTCTCCTTTCTAGACATCCTCACACTCATGGACTCCCAACCCTGCAAGCTGCAATGTGAAATCTTGTCTGCTCATCCCAGCGCTGCTTGTCATGTTGCCCAGGTATGGGAAAAGCTGCTGACTTGTCATCAGCTGACAGATGATGGAGACACCTGTGTGTGTGACAGAGAGGAGTTGTGTAACCTTTCTTCTCTTTCTCCAAAGGGAGATCTCAAGGAGAGAAAAGGTGTCCTTTGGTTCTGCACAGGGACTGCTTCTTGGGAGACTGCACCATGGAGCGATTTTTGAGGAGAAGGGTATTCACCATGGGATATACAGGTACAGACTCAGACTCACCTTCTCCATGCCAGAGAAGAGCTGATACTCTCCTTTTGGTAGCATTCTGCAACACAATATCTGGATGAGAATGGACAGACCTGGAGAAAAGCCTGTCATCTTCTCTAGATTGGGGCACAGCCTTGTTCACCAACCCAAGACTCTGTGAAATCACTTGCAGACAGGAAGGCTAGCAGTTAGCATACACTGACACACTCTTTGTGCATCAGATACCACTGACACACTCTCTGACACACTCTCTGCATGTCAGAGGCCTGACAGAGCCTCTGCACATCTGTGTTGTGCTGTGTGCCCAAAAATGCATGGTAGTGGAAAGCTGGCCCATACAAGAGAGGAAGAAATCCAGCTGCTCAAGACTGTCATGGGCTTTGCAGTGAAGATGTTCCCCTGTGTCCTTTTAGCAGAAGGATGCAACAATGCCCCCACTCCCACACCTTCTGTTGCAGGTCCAAGTGTGTCCTATCGAGTTCATTTGACTAAACTGTCTAGATGAGATTCAGGAATGACCCTGGATTACTCAAAAGAAAAGGGAGAGAAGAACAAAGAGGGTGGGCTAAATTGTGCAGGAAACAGGAAGAAACCCCACAACACCCACAGCTGGAAGGAGGCTGTGTTTGATATCTCCATGGGAAGAGTTTCTTTCCCATGGGGTTCCCTGGACTATACAGGAGGCAGGGCAGTTCATAGTGAGCCTTGGAGAACATCTGGTATTCAAAGACTCGGTGATCTCCAGCAGGCCATGCCTGGTTTGTTGAGCCTTGTGTTTAAGGGTTGAGAAGCCTGCATGTTAGCATGAGAAGCTGCAATGTGGGAACTGGATGGAGTTTCCCCATGCTATCCTGTTTTTGCTGGCATGTGCACACAGATTGTCTTTGTATAGTTAACAATCCAGCCCCTCAGGTCTGCTGTGGCCAGCACACTGGACTCAGGTGAAGAGGATGCTAGCCTCCTAACAGCCACAACACTAACTCTCACCAGGGCTCAGCACCAAAATTAAGTCCAGCATATGCTCCCACACAGAAGATGTCAGGATTGAATGCTGTTGTTTGCCCTCAACTTTCCTTGACAGCCTTTTCACACTCTCACCAACCCTGAGGCTCTTGCTCTAGCACTTGCCTAATCTGCTAATTTAGCTTTAGAAGTAAAGGATCAAGACACAGTGACCTCCCTAGCTGGGAGAAGAGCCGGAAAGGAGGCAATGGATTGAAATCTCTTCTCTGTCTTAGAGAAACACATATGGCATACGCTACATTTCAAGGAGCTTTTCAAGTATCATCTCTTTTCCTGACCATACAGACCACCTCTCCTTACCATTCCTGCCAACATCCGTATTGCATTGATGACATGCACTGATATATGCAGCTAATGCATTAAATTACTACAAATTATCACCTTTGTGCTTCTTATAATTCACTGGTTTAACCTCTCATGCTGGGCTACAGAGAAGTTGGTATACAAATATTTCCTCAGCCTATATTGTTCCACCAAAAAACTTTACAGCAAGACCTAAACTTTAAGTTATAAGCATCTAAACTCTGAAGTATCATGGCACTGAAGGAAAATCACAAGCTTGTCAGCATTTGAATATTTTATGGACAAGCTCCTACAATGCACCTTATTAAACCTTCCTGCTTGGAGGAATTCTGTGTTGTGGTGGTGCATTTCCTTCCCATTCCTTGCACCTGGAACTCTCTATTGAGGCTTATTTGCCTTGGCATTGAAGCAGAGAGTTTGGTGGTTGAGAGCCCCTTGGCCATGCCAAGCACTGCTGCATAGGTAGAGAATGGTACAGACCGTCTCAGGACTACCAATTGTAGGAGTAATCCTCCTCTGATAGCCCTGGAACATATTTTTGTCTAATTATGACTTGATGAGAATTCTAGCAATTACCAGCAAATGATTTGTGGCAAGAATGAAAATTTACTGATGCCTAAAGTCAATCATCTCCCAATCCTATAGAGTGGTCCCAAGTGAGACCCTTTAAGCTCTCCTGGACCACAGCAAGTTGTGACCAGCACCTCCCTCTCAGTGGGACACCTCTCAGACTCTGTGAACCTTAAAATTTGTGATCGTCTCAGAGGCTCAGCTGTTCACCTGTTGAGCAATGTAAAGCATTTGATGTGAGTGTGCAACTGAAGTTGAGGGGGATATTTAATATGTACCTTGGTATATAGCTATCTCTTTTTTCTACATCTCTTTATATGTCTAATCTTAGTAAGTTTTAAGTTGATTTTGTTGCTAAGTTTTATATGATTCGATACTGTGATTTATCTC